AAAATTGCATTCAAAAAAAAAAATTCTCTTCTGTTCTCACCTCCAATCATTTATAGAGCTTTTTTTCGCTTTTTCATCTTCACATACGAATTTTTGTTTAAAAATTATTTGATTTTTTTATTTATTTAATGAAATTGAATCAATAATCATACATATTAACTGTCAGAATGTCCAAATATTATTTTATCTGCTCCCTTTCTTCTGTTCTAAGAAATTTGAAATTTTATTTCAAATTCAATAAATGCACCTTATGATTTGAAATTTTTTAACTGCAATGTGGAAGAATTGAATTTATCTAAACTTTTACGGATGTTGTTTAAATTGATGAGCAGAATTAAGAATTGGAAATATTATCATAAGTTAAATGTATAATTAAAATGTAACAACATAAAAATGCACAAAATAATGTATAAAGTTATTGCACAATTTTTGTGGCTCTTCACTCGTTTTTATGCTATTTTGATTGCTAAGATCTAAAACTTAGACATAATGCAGTAGAATTTCTTGATTTTACTTCTAAAATGTCTCAATATCGTGTTTTTCTGAATTTTTCAAAAATTTCACTTCTAGAATTATTTTTTTTTCCTGTTATCTGATTTGTTGTAGCATGGGAATAAATGCTTGAGGATTATATTACAAAATATCAATTTGTATTGTGTTTTAAAAAAATTTTTATCAAAAATTTTAACCATATTCTATTTAATTTTATTTCGAATCAAAAAACAAAAAATGACATACTAGAAAGAAATACTTGCAGTACATTTTTTCCTAACCAAGCATATCTTCCCATTCTTCAACACTGTACATTTGAGAAAATATCCGTTTCTTTTTTTTTGATACCATTTCCAAATATTTGTAATGAATCTTGGAAATATTTCATTATCATATTTTTCTTTGGTGCTCATATTTATACAGAATGCGTAATTAAATATGCATAAAAAAGTATATTATTTAATGTTTACCTAAAAATTCTGCCAAATATTCCTCTAACACATCCACAATACTTTAGATAATATCATTATTTAAAAGTTATCTCAAGTGTTATATGATTAAAATTAACCAGACATTGATTTTTTTTTAATTGATTATTTTTTGTTTTCATTTCGTATCTGATCGCTTACCTTTCCTACTATGATATCGTCTGGATCACAGTGTGATGATTAATCACTTCAAAGTGATGAGACTTGGAAGAAATGTCACTAAAAATAAAAATTGAAGATTAATTATGATTATAAATTAGGTGGGTATATATAAACTGAATGGTATAATGTCAAACTTAATGTATGATTATAATGATTCATTTATTACTTTGATTACTTATTTAGTTAGCTAAATATATATAACACTCATTTTTTTTACAAGCAAAAGCAGGAAAAGCGCAATTTTTTAATTTCAAATCAGCTACATAAAGCCCTAATATGTTTGATAACAGAAAACTTCTCTTAAAATCATAAAATAAATCTTAAAATACTTGATTTTAAAATGTCTCTCAATTCTTGACACATATCATTTTTTTTTTTGAAGAACTACAGAATCTTCAAAAAACTGACTGAGCAGTATCAAAAAATCAACTCTAAAGATATTGATAAAGCATTTTCAAATGAACTGCCATTCGCGTACAATGATAATTCACATTACCTTTCTATAAGTAAAATTATCATATATCTGCAATGATTACCTTATTCAGAAAAGTGAAACAATTCAATTTTATTAATAGGTAAAATATTTAAGAAACACAAAAATACGAAATGCAGTAAAATAAAATATTTTCTTAACATCGTTGATTTTATTAATTATCATCCGATCCACAGCTGCTATTTTTATATGATAAAGATTTCAGAAACAACAAATGTAATTTAGATTTCTTTCCAATTAATTGAACTGATATTCGAAATCCTTGCCAATAATATCAAAAACCTCGAGATATCGCTAATCTAAATTATGAAAATGACCAGAAAAACAAAAACAAATTGTAATTTTCCTGAAGATTGATTATTCCGAATAGATCGTCAATCAATTTTGAAGATTAGATGAAGAGATAAACATTTGTTTGGGAAGCTAGAACAATAGTTGATTCAAACATGGCAAATACCACGAAGAATTAACGTAATATATAATTATACAAAGTTTGCAGAAAATTTCTGAAAACTGTCCGAATATAGCTGAGAGCATCAAATACAACAAAGCACAATCATAATCTCTAAATGATAAAAATACTGGAATGTTTTTAAAATTGCTATGTCATTCAATTGAAATCAAATTTTGCAAGAAGTATAAAAAATTTCTGAATGATAAGCTGATATATAGGAACACACTGAAAGGGTATCAAATAAAAATTTACTAATCGATGAAGTTTGAGAGGAAGAAAGAAGTTTGAAATTTTTTTTTTTGCAACATAAATTAGCAACTTAAACTTTCCACTCATAATTTGATATAATATTGTTAAATTTAATAATTCTAATAGAAATAATGCAATTTTCAACACATAATTAGCATAGTATCCTGAAATTCTTGTCACCTAAAATACAACAGTTTAAGAAACAGCATAAACCATTTCATAGAAATAAATAACGAACCAGAACCATTATGAAATTCAAACAGAACCAAAAAACTGCAAAAAATATGTTAGCAAAAGAAAATAACATTATTCGAATTGAACAAAAAAAAACACAAAAAAACAACTTGCATTTAAGGTTAGAAATTGAAAACAAATCAAATATCTCATGTAATACGCAATATAATTTCTGAAATTAGACTTTTATAAACTAAAAAAAAAAACAATAAAATCATAATCCTACAAATTTAGTTGAAAATAATATTATAAGAAAGATGTGTGCTATCTATTTTAATTAATAAGAAATAAGAAGTTGTTATAATTTCTCAATGACTTCATCTTTCATGATTTATGCAAATTTATTGTGAAAGGTTTTCATAATTTTAATATTAATTGTGTTAACATGGAAAAAAATAACTCTCCTTATGCAAAACAGTTAGCATAATTGTCACTTTTTTCACAATATTTATTGTTTTTTTTTCCTAATAATAAAACAAAATTTGAACAAAGCAATCATGTTACTACCTACGATTATTACTAAATTTTTTACTTATTTTTTTAAAAAACTTATGGAGAAAAAACTATTTTCTTTTAATTAATTTATTTTTTCTTGAGGAATTTATGGAGAAAAAAGAAAGAAATATTTCCTTTTAATTTATTTATTTTATTATTATTTTTTTTAAGAAATTTATAGAATCTATATTATCGTTTGAAACGGTTGGCATAATTGCTTGATGATTGATTTTCAAAATAATTTAAACTATTAGGTAATAATTAAACAAAACTTAAACAAGGCAATAATCATTGTACTATGATAATTACTCAATTTTTAACTTATTTTTTTTAAATGAATTTATAGAAAAAAGGGAAAAAAAGTATTTTATTTTAATTAATTAATTAATTTTTTTTTTTTTTTTGAAGGATTTATAGAAAAAAAGAAGTATTTCATTTTAATTTAATTTTTTTTTTTTTTTTTAAAGGGTAAAAGAAAGCAGTTTTTCACTATTATCGTTGATAACAGTTGGTATAATTGCTTGTCTACTCTTTTTTTTCCAAATATTTTCAAAAAAATAAAACAAAAATTGAAACAAAACAATCAACTTTTTTATTACTATTATTACACTATAACTATTACTAATTTTTTAATTTAATTTTTCCTTTTCTAAAGAACTTATAAAAAAAAACAAGAAAGAATTAATTATTTCACCGTATTGTCATTGGTTTGATTTGAAGTTGAAACCATTGATTCCACCAGAAAAATTGTTCCATTTGAAATAATTCATTCGACTGCATCATTTGATCCATTCGTAATTGAATCCATTCATTGCACTGAATCATTCGTTGTCGCATCAATCGTAACTGAATCCATTCATTGCACTGAATCATTCGTTGTCGCATCAATCGTAACTGAATTCGCTGACTCCATTGAATCATTCGCTGTTGTAAGGTACGTAATTGAATCCATTGATCCCATTGCGACATTCCTTGTTGTAACATTTGAATTTGAATTAATTCTTTCCACCATAGCATCTGTTCTTGTAGCATTTCTAATTGAATCTGTTGATTCCATCGCATCATTCTACATTGATTCCAACGAATCCATTTATTTATTTGTTGTTGTATAATTCGATCCTGAATCAAATAATTCCATTCTGTCATCTGTTGTTGTTCCATTTGATGACGAAAGCATTGATTCGATTGCATCATACGTTCTCGCATTATTCTATTCTGAATCCATCGTCTCAATCGTATCAGTCGTTGTCGCTCCATTCTATGTTGCAACAAGAATTGATTCCATCGTTGTCGTTGTTCCATTTTAAATTAACAAATATTAATCGTTGGAAATAGAATGAACCAATTTTGTTTTTTTTTTTTTTCTGCTTCTTATTTTCTAAAAATTGTGAATAATAATTAAATGGAAATAAAAGAAGTGAAAGTGATGAAACGAAATATTACTTTGATCAAAAATTTCTAGAATATTCCAAACTATATAAATTGCACGTAAGCAATAATTCATTCCGCTTTGGAATGGCTCTTACAGGCAGACAGTTCAACTAATCCATTAAATGATGCAACTAAATTTGCATATATTTTATATGGGCGTTATTTAGACAATTGCATCATACGTTTAGTTGTTATTTTGCTCAAATTAACGTATTTTACAATATTGCACGTATTTCACGAATATTGCAAGTGGTTTATAACCTATCACTTTGCACGTACTTCACGAATATTACGAGTGCTTTATAACTTGTTACGTGTCTCGAAATGTTTATTTCGTTAACTTTACAGATAATTATGTTGTCATTGTCAATCGGTGACAAAATTGTTGAATTTTGGGTTTCTCACTGCTGTGAGTTATGTAGGTTTTAATGCTGGAAGAGTTGTTTAATGGATACGGGGAAGGTATATTTTGGGTATCTGCTTGGGTAGATTATTTAATGGAATGGTGGAAGGAGCTATATGCGACAGTGAGGTAGACATTTGATGAATGATGATTTGAACAAGAGTTTAATCTAGTCTAATAATTGACTTTTAATATTTGTGTTATTATTAATAGTTAAATTTATAAATTTAAGTGCAGAAAAAATTCAGTCTTAACAAAAACTACGATTTAATGTAATTATGGTTAGAAATTATTTAATCATGAATTTTTATTTTTAGTTAAATTTGCTATTTGAGATGGGTGATTGGATTCATTGTAATGTATGCATTCGTATGCCAACACAGGGTAACGAACAGTATCCATTTTATTTTACATCATGTGGTCATATTATTTGTGGTAAATGCTACGAAACAGGTTAGTCAGTTTTTTCTTCCTTCATATCACCTGACACATTCTGAAATAATTTTGCAGAATTATTGAATTTTATTTTAACTTTAGTAGCTTTAAAATACATCCTTATATGTTGATGTATTTGAGTGGACTTTAAAAAGTTAATTCGACAAAAGCTTATACTTATTTCATTTTTTTTTCAAATTATGTGCTGCATAATTTGACATTTTCAGCTCCTGAAAATCATTGCATGCGATGTAGCAAGCGTGCCAATGCAGTGAAAATTAATCGGAATCTTCGGAGCGATTTGCAGATGTATTTTCGAAATCCAAAAGAATTGCTGGAGCAATACGTGAAGAATTTGAATGCAGTTTTGGATTTCCAAAGCGGCCATCGTCAGCATTTACAAAAAGCTAAGCAGGAACAGGCAGGTAGTTTACATGAATCAAAGGTAAATTTGCAGAAATCGGTATCCATCAAAATTACCGATAAATAGATGAATTTACTAGCGATGCAATTGATTGGTCGATATTACAGCAGAAGAAAGCAATGAAGTACGTAATATCGGCACAGCTCGTAATGAAGCAGAAGACCGAAAGGGAAAGGTTTGTTTAATTTCATTCTTAGTAACAGAACTATAAACATACATTTTATAGAATTCTGCAGTGATTTTCAGGAAAGCTTTGGCTGAAAAGGAGTCGTTGATAAGAGAAATTGACAAGCTTCGACATCATGCTCAAAAACTAGAACAAATGTATGTATACTAATTTTCATCACTTTTTATCTCTTTTTCAATTTCTCTCATTATTCAGGGTAAAACAAAAAGATGATGCATATATATTAATCTTTCAAGCTTCTATTCATCTGTTGGAAAAGTCCAAGTTCATTGTCCTTCAGGTTGTCTGTCAGTTCTGTTTCACGTAACAGCCCTCATTCAGCTGGTCGAAGTAGTAAGTTGATTTGCTCTTCATGAAATATATGCTTTGCTGTGTCTCGGCATATATTGATAATTAGAGCTTAGAAAGCCTTGAAATAATGCTTCTCTTATACTGATTCACGGGACTTGGCTTTGAGAATGATTTAAATTCATAGCAAGATCTTCGTGCAAATGATTATTGTAGAGTGAATCCATATCCTAGAATTCTCTGCTTTTCAAAGCTTCCTGAAATGATTCCAGAGTGATATTCTTTTTCTAGCAGGAGGTAGCTTAGCTTCGACAGAAAGAAGTGGTGGAGGTTCTTCGGGACGTTTTGCAACTAGTACTCCCATCAGCGATTGTTTGGAAACGGTACTGAGATTTGTTTTGATTTGTCTTGCTAAAGAAATGCTTTCATGAATCTATTCTATATTATTTCTTTTTTCAATGCGAAAACATTTGGTTAGTCTTTCTGCATTAAGCGAATGTATGACATCGTAAAAATCTTTTACTGGAATTACACAATATTCATTTACTACATGTTCTATTGCAATTCATGTAACTTTTAGGACGGCTTTAAATTGGCTGCAGATAATCGTTCACTTAGCCGAGTAGCCGCTGCTTTTTCTCGCAGTGGTATAGAGCCAAGTCCCATTGCATTGTCAACTGCTATCATTACAACACCTGATATGTTGGGTTTAAGAAAACGCTCAGAGAAGTAAGTTAATTTTTTGTTCAAGGCATTTGTAATTAGATGTGTAATACATCAGCAAAGCCAAAACTAATCAGTCATTCAAATAAATTGAAATGTTATTAGTAGTTGAGTCTGGAAGGAGGGAAATTAGAAAGATATGAGTGTCTTGCTAAGGTTTCTGAATGATTTTCATAAATCGTTCTTCAGACTAGAGAAAAACTGGTTGAATGGAAAGGGAACAACACCAAATCGCATATTTTCGTAGACTTTTAAGTGTCATAAATCATTTTTTCAAATACAGTGGTTCGATGCATTGATTCTCAGTTTAAAATAGACTGTGATTTTTGTATTTCGTTATTTATTCAATAATCATTTTATGATCTTTTTTCAGTTATAACTAGCAATTGTTCACTATTGTAAATAGCTTGTAAAAAAGAACTGAATATTTATATAAAATAAATTATTCCAAATATATTTGTACCTAATTCAATTTTTATATTTCGTTATTTATTCAGTAATTATCTTATGATTTTTTTCTCACCTATAATCATTTTCGATTATAATTCTAATTTTTTTAAGAATTTTAGAACATTTCATCTTTCTATACTGATGTAGATAATTTTGAATGCTAAGCATCATCATCCTTTGCTTATATTTACGAGTAATTAAATTTTAAGAAGTGCGTGATTAGCGTGTAGTACAAATATAAAAAAGTTGGAGGAAAATTAATTTTGTTCCAGTTTTTCTTACAGTGACTAGATGTTTTCGATTGAACAGATTCAGTACAATGCATATTTTTTGTGAAAAGACGAAAAAAAAACAAGATTGCAGAATTATATTTTACAAAGTCGAGTTTTAAATCATAAAAGTTTTTACACTCACTATTTTACCTTTTATGCAGCTAACGTAATTATAATCGGCTTTTCTATTGGAATTTACTTGCTGATTATAACAATTTGCATTAAGTTAAATATACAGCACTTACTTGTAAGTTTTAAATGTTTCGTACATAAGATTGTATTTGGATAAACATGTATTTTGCGGTTGCTGAAGTTTAATGGCAGCAATGATCGCATTTATCACTGACCACTTTCATGATATCATTTCTAAATGATTTATGCAATTTTCTCTCTTTTTTGGTGACAATGACAGCATGTATAAAGAAGTAATTTGCAAGTTGCTGCGAAATACTTGATTTCTTTTTTTCGGAACAAAATTATGAAAAATGCGAAAATTTGAAATAAAAGTTGAGAAACAGCATAGTAACAAAATAATTTCTAGTTTTTAAAAGCTCAAAAGACATAAGCCAATAAAGGATTTGCAGTTGGCAAAAAAATGAAATTATACCAAAGCGAAAAATGTGTAGAAGTTAAGAATAGACAAAAGTGCCTCACCATGCAGTGCATATAGAAACGTCTTGCAAAGAAAAGTGAATCAACAAGTATTTCAATTTGATGAATTTATTTTTCACTGAAAGAGAAAATTGGAGTTTGACATTACCGTAAAGAAGAAAATTGGAACTGACCAAATGTGAAATGAGAATTTTGACATTGATTTATACTACACACTGATTGTGAATGACATGACATATCATTCGAATATGATTTCAATAAATTCAAAAGTTTGATGAAATAGACAAAACACTTCCAAAATTTACTCATTTGAAAGATCTTTCGGGATCTCTCATTGAGGACTGCGATCATCCAAAACATTACAAGCAAAATCTGCCAAATATTGAGTAATTAGCGAGAAATAATATTGGGAGACTTCTGGCATGTTCTCGATCTATCAGCATTTTATCTCGAACATATCACAGTAATAAAATACAAAGTAGTAAATAACTTAAGAATAAATCAATATCTATTGAAAAATCCATCATACGTAGAAAAACAAAAAACTTAGACAGTATGAATTTCAGATATTCAAGAAACGGAAGGGGAAAGTGAAACGGAAAGGTTATAAACTATCTAAAGAGAAGGGTCAATTGTCAGAGATTTATAAACAAAAGATAATTTTTTGTTGTCACAAATATTGACGTCATTGAGGTTCAAATGATTTGAGCACATTCCACTTACTTTTTATAATTCCAGAAAAATTGGATGTATATTTGTTAAATTTCAAAATTTTTAAGAATGGTAAGTTTAAATTTCCTTATTTTGAGATAAAGTTTGCATATTTTGAAATAAATTTATAAAAGAATTGAGAAATATTTGCATATATATCATAGATGTAAAGTGAGATTTTATGAATTTAAAAACTAATCAATTAAGTGGTATAAAAGATAATTCATTTGATTTCAAATTTCGTTGTGTTACTAGAAAGACACCAAATCTGTCAGCCAAGGTGGATATTTAGGCTTTTAGACAAATTGATTTACCTTTTCTGGTGATCCGGTTCGAACTACCGGACAGCAAAATATGTGTAAACTATTAGATGAATACTTTTTTCTCACTTTGGATGCTCTATTATTTTAGATTTTTGCATTACAAATTCTTCATTTCAGTTCTGAAAGGATTTCGTACATTTAATGTTGCCTTCTAATTTGTTCATGGGTTAATGAATGAAAGATAAAATATTAAAAAATGCAATGATAAAATGAAATTATAAACTGATCGCTGCATTCTGATCATTCGATTGCTACGCGCCTTTCTTATGCTTGCGAAGAATGCCCACATTGTGTCTCGTTTTCTAGAATAAAAATTTCTTAAATGTCTTTTAGCGACAAACAAATGATCAGTAGTTCGTCGCAGTTTGTCTTCTTGGATGAAATGATATGTTTTTCTGCATGTCTTTTGTTTGTTGATATATCATTGAAAACTACTGATATACGAGTTAAAAATTTTTTCTAAATATGCAAACTAACGAGATTTTGTTTTGCGCCTCATGTGCACTCGCAGTCCATTTCTGTTAGTGAAGATTTTGCTACAGTACTTGCACTGAGGATGAGATTTATGAGTTTGTTTATGATAGCTGAATGATGCTTTATGGTTGAATGTTCGTCCACAACCGGGTACTTTGCACTCATAGATGAAGGGTTCACCGTGTGTTTTCTTATGTGCTATATATTCGTTGTAAGTTTTTGTGCTCAAAGCACAGCCAGGATAAAAACATTCGTAGCTTCGTCCATCTAAAAAACTCTTATCATATTTGTTTTTTCAATTGGCAGTTTGTTATAGTGTTTGACAGTTAATTAAGTAATCTGATAAAACCATAAAAATATGATAAAAAAAAAGAAAAATCTGATAAAACCATTAAAAAAGAAAAGAAAAAAAAAAACTTCATGAAATAATCTTATCACATTCCATTTCAAATAATTTAGATAACAAGAAGCTGCTTAATTATTGTCACGTATGGTTGCAACAAAAAGTATAATTGTGATTTTTTCACTCAGCGGTCTATAAGATATTTCACGTGCATTCTATTTCAGGTTGGCATGTCTGTCAAATTAGCAAACTAACGAGATTTTTTTTGGCAGCATTTCTTGTGTTTTGTCAATCCATCTTTGCTGGTAAAGAATTTGCCACAGCATTCACACTGAGGATGAGATTTATGTGTTTGCTTGTGATTGTAAAATGTTGATTTATAGTCGAATGTTCGCCCACAACCAGACACTTTGCATTCATAAATGAAAGTTTGACCATGTGTTTTCTTATGTGTTAGATATTCTTTGTAATTTTTCGCAAGTACAGTACATCCGCGATAATGGCAAGTATAATTTTTTTTATCTGAAAAAATTTTTGTCAGTGCTTTTGTTTTTTCATTTTTAATTTAGTCATTTAATATAATAAAACATAAAAATATTCCTATAAAAAAATATCACATTGTATTTTAAATAACTTAGGTAATAATTAGTTGTTTACTTATTTCCTCGCTTGAAGCAAAAAATCATATGTCGCTTCTCCAATTTCATGCTTCTTATAAAAGTAAACAACTACAAGAGATAGAACAAGAAGTTGTTAAGCAATTTGTCATAACCTGTTTCTGATCCTTCATCGGTATTCCCCCTGTAGTCGAGGATATTTAAACTATTCGAGAAGTGTTTGTTGCTGATGTTGCTCTGTTCAGCATTTCCATGTTGTCCGGATATGCCGTCCGAGGAAAGAGTAACTTGGTGAAAATAGATCGGAAGGGCACTTTCTTCTGAACCAGGTAAGTGTATATATGTGATAAATGTCATCGGTGTCGAGATTAAGTGACAAAAAAGTTTCACTTTGAGTATCTCAATAACTTAGATCACAGAAAGCTGTTTAATTGTCTTTTCACATATCTGAAGTAAAAATCTTACCTGTAATGGGAGGATATCTCACTTCATTATTATTCGTTTTTAATTTTCCATTAACATCTTCCTGCACATTCCTATATGAATCCATATCTGTGTCAAGTGATGCTTCCAAATTAGTGTGGCCGATGAAATCATAGCTATTGGAGAAGCCAGGATAAGGAGCATTTCTTAACAGATCAGTCTCCTCAATTTCACTTAACAGAACGAAATCAATCAATTGCGAAGAATCAGACGGAAATTCTGGCTCAAAATTGGTGTAATCGAGGATATTAAAGCTGTCTGAGATGCCAGAAATGCCAGAACCTTCATCACCGATTTCGAGATTAGTTGGAGAGAAAGTTTCATTTTTACCAGAAGCGATGCAAAGCAGAAGATTGAACCAAATGATGGATGTCATAGATGCAGTGAAGAACATGGTGAAACACAATTTTGTGAAATGACAAAATATTCAAATGGAAGCTTTTTATTTCAGATTATTAGAATTAAAAACCAAAGGTTAAACAGTTTTAGGTTTAAACATCAAAGGTGTCCATTGTTTGTCATAATTTTTCTTTTATATTCTCGCCTTCATCGCGCTCAAATAATATTATGAATGCTCTTTTAAACCCTTGAGAAAGTGTTACAATAACGTGTACGCAAATCTGGTGCTTTGGATATTGCTCCATCATTCCAGTAATACTTGTAAAATCGAGTGACATTTTGAAGAATGAGATTCTGATCATTTTCGAGGTATTTAATTTGGTGTATTTAATAAAGAGGCATCTACATACCTACTGATAATTTGACATGCATCTATTGCTATCATCAAAATGAATTTCAACATAAGCTGGAACGATGTTTGATTTTTGAAAGAATGGAATAAATTTTAAAAGTTTGGTTGGCATAACGGAGTAACATTTGCATAAAGGAAACTGAAGAATAGCTGGATTAAATGTCATCGCATAGTGAAGTATTTAATCTGATCTGTGCAGTATTAAATAATCCTGTCTGCTTTGTTTAATAAAATATGATATATTGCATGGTCAATAAAATATTGAATGAATTATTTGCATATTGTAAAAATTTAGGTTCTAAATTTTAGTGATGTAAATTAAATGACAATTGAAAATATACTGACTAATTCCCGATATTTATTCTTTCAGTTGATTATATCCAATTGCATGTATACTTCTTTCCATCTGTTAAATTAATTTCCTCACCTAACAAAGTTAATAACATTTCATGCATATGATTTGTTTTCCATTAATATTTGAATTCCTTTAATATTTGAAGATATATTTGTTTGTTTAATCAAAAATTAATTGATAATACATTGTTGCTTGAAGTAATGAATTTAGTTCTTATTTATTGCGTCATTTGTTTTTATTAACAAATTACGAATAAATTTGGTGAAAGGAATTGTCAAATCTACCGCCCAATTTTATTTTGATAATAAACACTAATTTTGTTGTTTCCGCCATAGACTATGTCACCAAACAGTTAAAAGGGCAGGGATATGAGTTGTGACAATAGTTAATTTGTTCATTACATCAGTCAAGCTAAAATAGGAAACCATAGTCAGTACCTCATTTGCTTTAATAACCTAATTAATATTTTGTGATATTCACTCTTTTTCCCTTTTGATGATTTCAGTGTTTTGTAAATAATGATGAAATAATGAATTGAGAATTATTTTTGTTGCAATTAGCCTTGATGCGCTTCAGTTTTTTCTCAATTTTTAAATGGAAATGAGTTTCATCCATTTACTTTAATATATGTGCTTTCACTAAATACGACTTAATTTTTCACAAAATATGACTTAAAGAATGCTCATATCAAGAGACAATAAAAAATTATTTGCTTGAACATTTGGTCATTCTTTTTTTTTTGCAGAATGAACACACATATACACAAACACATGGAGACCTTTTCATCGTGATCAAGGAGGAGTCACTATCATCTACAATCGTCTTTTCTTCTCTAGTAGTACGTATTCCTGCTCTGTATATTCGACTAATCTATAAAGTCAACTAATCTTCACGACAAAGTTTTTTGATGCCACGAGCCGGGAACTATGTTCAGCAATGTAGTAGCAAACATCGAACCAGTCAAAGAAAGGTTAGTCGATCTTCTAAAAGAAATAAATGCCATATATTTGGCATTTACTTTTCTCTAGAGTTAAAAATAACTATGGAACAATAGGAAGAGTTATACAATCTACGGATAAGAATACTAAAGGATAAGAATTCAAGTACGTATTACGATACTCGAATCAGACAAATGGCTCAGTTATTTCCAACAAATTACGGCAGCGAAGCGAAAAGAAGAGGAAAAAAAAAATTGTCATCAAAAGAACAACAAATATGCATTTACTTCAGTAAAATATGCAATTTTTCATCTAACCATATCATATGGAGAAGGATTAGAGTAACATTTGCGTTTGAGCTTAGGGTTAGGCTTAGGATGACACTTATACTTACACACATTAGATGCTGCAACATTTTTCTCGTCTGACATATAAAATGGAAGACATTTTGATGTGCATTGATAAGAGCGCTTAATTTTCCTCTCTAATTTTTTGTCTGGGTAAACTGTTTTATGATCCGATCAATGCCAGTTACCTGTCTCTTCCCAAATGCTACTATGTGGCATTTATCTATCTGTGTAGATAAATGAATGCTTGCATTCATTTGTTTGTTTACCACTTGTTAGAAGCCCCGAAAATAACTTTTCGTAAAAGATTTAAAATTTATCCAAGAAAAAAAGAAATGATAATGTGAGATAGCCCAATGGTGCGACATACTATTCTCTCCACCATTTACCAGCACTCTTCGTTACAGAGGATGGGTGGTCCTTGTCTTCCGACAATATACATCTCGTTGACATCTAACAAACGGTCGGTCTCATTGACGCCATGAGTAAATGTACAAGGAAGAGAGGAAGAGAGAAGAGGGACCAAGGGAAGAGGAAGTGATTTACCAGCAATTTAGCGGGTCCTCAACTCTACAAAGACTGTTCTATCATAGATAAGCTTGTCCTTTTCATCTTACAATGCATTGGCTTTTTTCTTTTAGTTCAAACATTTCCTCCTTTCTTCTCTCTCTCTACACTATTGTTCTTTCGCTCCTTCTTCTATCTCTCTTCGTTGTTGTTCTATCTATGGAATAATTGCTCTCTCTCTCTCTCTCTAATTGACCTTCCGCACTATTCGTTTCATCTGTCGATGGATGTATGAGTGAAAATATTTCTGTCCATTATTTTCAGCTGTTGTTAGTTCCTATTTTTCATTATTGTAACACAAAAGGTCATTTAGTCAAATTGATTTCTCTATACTTGTGACCTTTTATGGACATATTGGTTCAATCATTAATGAAACAGTTCAGAGAGTCGCAAGTGGTGGCCGTAGATGAGATCCGTAAGGAAGAGTTGACAGTATTATGGCTTTGTAGATACTAATCTTGACATTTTCTTCACGTGCATTTCCCGAATGTTCTGTATGCCTTCGCTAGTATGTTACTAATCTCTTAATCGATTTCGGTTCTAAGACAAGTAAAACACACTGGCTTTGATGTAGAACTGCTTCTGTCCATTGAGAAGTATTTCCGCAAGGATTTCACCAATTTAATAAAGACGAATTATAATATGTAGAAATAAAACTACATTAAATTCATAGAACTAAGGTTGGTTGAGTATTTCTTGGACAAACGTTCGTTTCAATGTTACATAAGAAATCATTTATCTGATGTTCATTCATTTTTCTTGTAGCTGAGCTTCTTTGCATTGTTTGTTAACAAAGAATACGTATTGATTAGACCGTTTACAATTATCAGCTCCTTATTTAGTTAGTCCCTTTTGTTGTTTATCGGTTCCTTGTTAACTGTAAATCACATTAAAATTTGAAGAGTTAACAGCTAACAGTGTTGTAAATAAGTTTTAAGGTTACTATATAAGGAGTTATAACCTTTGTTAAGGTTAGCTGGAACCGCCCTCTCACTACTTACTCGAATTTTCTAATACTGCTCAATAACTGTGGTCAACGATAACCTTTTCAAATCAAACTCTATTTCACAAAATCACATAGCGATTAAGGACGGTTATTTATCTAAATCAATAAGAACAAACGAAATGTGAATCACATAATTCCTTCCAGAGTTATTTTTTAATCCTTACATACAAAGGTTAAAGGTGAAACACGACAATATCGCATGAATTGCACAGGTTTCTTGGGCTTTTAATAATAAATACGGTTATTTCTAGACTGAAATTCTTTTTACGAAAAATGTGATAAAAGAGCAATTGAAGGGACTGTGAAAACATGCGTAGAGCGAACAAACATGAAGCGATTTTGAGAGCAATAAGTGAGGGTACTGGAAGGCAGTGATTTACAAAAGAATACATAAGAGAATAATAAATGGAATGGAACAGAGAGAGGGAAATTGATTGAAATAGATTGCATGCAGTGAGATAACTACTCATCGCATTTGCGCTCTTGAAATAGCTTGGACAGAAAGTCCTCAGTGAGAGAAGTGCTGATGTCAAGTCGCTATCCTTTCTCTCCAAGATCACTGCAACTCGCAGTACTCTGTAATTAGTTATCTATCAATGACAAATAAGGCATTTACTTCTCAATTGCTTGCCATAATAGGTATTAAGAACTGAAGAAACTTATTTGTAAAGCACTCTTTCAACAGCAATCTGTGACAAACTGCTTGCTGCTCCTTACAGGTATTGCGATTCTTAATGTTAACAGTTGAGGACAAATATGATAAGCGAAGGGAAAAAACTTACTCAAAGATTATTTGTCATTGATAATTTTATTTGATATATTATAATTCGGTTTTTCTGTCGCAGATTTTAATGTCGCGATACTCTAAAATATGATATGACAGTTGTGAATATGAGTAAGGAAATATGTTCTATGAAATTCTTTGAAATAATGGATTGTTTGTTTTCAATCTTATGTTTAACTTTCAAGATTTTTGGATATAATGCAATAATTTCTGTATAACATAATGTTCGTTTTGACTGAGTGGAATGAAATGCTTTTTTGCATATCTTTCGTGAATTAGAAAAACAAAACAATTCGGCCAAGAATGGATGGAATATTCCTTTCTCTGTTGATATCCTCAATGTTTGTTGATGTATATTTAACCTTCAGTGTCACCATTGTCAACATCTTTTTATACAATTAGTTCTTAGGTTGTCAGCAGTAATGTTGAGTGCGAAAAAATATTCAGCATCTAATGAGTATGTCTAATGAATTTTCTATTGTCATTGTTCACTTAGAGATGTTTCATAATACATTTCACATTTTATTTTAGGCTGATATAAATTTTGTTAGCTTTGGGAAACTAGCGAGGAGACTCCGGAAGACAATTTCTTGTGAGATTTCAGTACATCCATAGCCCTTGCATGAGTCTCACTCTCGCACTGAAA